CCTTTGTGTTTATCACCCATTTTCCCTATTCTATTTTTTCCTCCTTTCTATGTTCTTCCTTTCCTATGTATCATTTATTTATTTGTTTGTAGCAGGGTCTTAGGATGTCGTCTAGGCTGTCCTTAAACTTCCTATCCTCCTGTCTCAGTGTCCAGGGTATTCGGTTTAGTAGAAATACCAAGCCTGGCTTTCCATTACCAACCTTCAGTCTTCCTTTCTTTTAATTGATTTGAATGAAGGGAGAATGGGCAGCACTCGTAAATGTACAAAGACAGCGTGGTCCTGATGATAAGAAACATTAGTGGTCAGCATTGACAAAGATGGGGAATATGGTTACCTCCACAGACTACAGTTAGCTTGTAAATTGAGAAATTCTTTGTAATATGAAAGGTGCAAATGTGTGCAGAGTCTGATCCAGAAGGTCTACTTCTAGAAAATTATGTTAGGAAATGTTATCCAAAGGATTTCTGTATCAAACAGCTTTTGTTCCATAACAAATCACACCAAATAAAATGAGTGAAAGTAAAAACTAAACCGGACAGTGGTGGTGCACACCTTTAACCCCAGCATTTGGGAGGCAGAGGTAGGCTTTGAAAATAGGACAAGCTCCAGGACGGCCAGGGCTACACAGAGAAACTTTGTCTGGAAAAACCTAAATAAATAAATAAATAAAGGACTATTGTTTTTCATGTTCAGTGGTTTGGTTGGATGGTTCTTCAGGCCTGGGGCTGGATAATCTAGAATACATAGATGGCCTAAATTGTTTCCTGGGCTTCTGTTGGGATGATCAAATCTTAAGTAGCTACAAAGTAACAACAAAGAAAAAGAAAAATTGAGCTACTGTTATTCATCATTAGAGCTCTCATCAACAACAACAACAAAATGGGGTCATGCTCCAGCACACAGACCTTTGCTTCATCACATTTGCTAGTGTCCCCACAGGGCAAGCAAGCCCTGTGGTCAAAGTCAGACTCAGGGATGGAGAAATAAACTCTACTTCTGTGCTGGGAGAGCTACAAAATATTGGGTTTTTTTTCTGCATTTGTTCATCACAGAACTATTTATAATACCCCCAAAATAGGGAGGAAATAATATATAAATATAGAAGACTTGTTGACTAACTCAAACAGCCATACCATAGGACACTTTGCAACACATGCAAATGATAGAAGAGGAATAATTGATAGGGAAACTGCCATGTAAAATTTGAAGAGGAGGGGATTTTTAAAGTCATTTTTATAATGCAAAATGAATACATGCAAGCACAGGTTGATATTGTTCTTTTCTGTTTTTCAAGACAGGTTTCTCTGTAGCTTTGGAGCTTGTCCTACAACTAGCTCTGTAGACCAGACTGGCCTCAAACTCACTAAAGGTGTGAGTCACCACACCCCCAGGATGAAAAATCTCAGAAGGATGTAAACAGAATGTTTAGTATGAATGCCCCCAATGATGGATGTTACTTGCTTTTTTTTACACTTACTTATTCGCTTTATGTATGTTTGCACATGCCATAGCACACATGTAGAGGTCAGAGGACAACTGGTGGACATCTCTCCTTCCATCCTAGGGAATCAGACTGTCAATCTTGACAGCACATACCTCTACTTACTGAGCCAAAACAAGCCTGATGTTACTTTCAAGCTCCTTATGTTTGTATAACAACATCTACCATTTCTATGCATTTGATTTGTTAATTTAATCTTTACAATCTAATAAATTATATCCCACTAAATAATTTTCCTGTATTACAGATGAGAAACTTAAGTACTGGGAAATTTAACAACCTGCCCCAAATCAAATAGTAAGTAAATACAAGGCAAGGTTCTGATTTGAATCTGGACTTCATATTCATTCATCACCACTCCAGTCTACCAAAGTCAACTGATGTGTCTGGGGCTCCAGTGCGATCCTTGGTAAACAGATTCTATCATCACTGGGGTTTTGTTTATTGATGGTCCTTTTCCAGGCTGCAGAGCCAACCCAGAGCCTTATGCATATTGTGCAAACTGCTGTATCACTGAGCTTCACCCCTAGCCCTTGGGTTTTTTGTTTTGTTTTTGAGACAGGTTTACAATGTAGTTTAGGCTGGCCTTGAACTCACTAAGTCACTCAGGCTGCTTGAGATCTTCCTTCTTCAGCTTTCTGAGTGCTGGGTACAGGAGTGTGCTACTATGCTCCAGGTGAGGAGCATAGTAATAATATGCTCAATAAAAAAACTCAAAGTGCTATTACAATACTCCAAATTTTATCCCTTAGGGATGAAGAGCATCAAATTTTTGAGCAGAGGATCTGAATATAAGGACTTTTCCTCACACTTTGATAACAAGTGGAACTTATTTATATTCAATATTACAATGTCTTTACAGTTCCGCACTTAGGTCTTTTGCTTAACTATGATCCGGCATGCACAGGGAGACAAGAATAGATTACTTGAGATTATTATTTAAGGTTTGGGAGGTTCAAGGCTAGCCTTGTCTATATAACAAGTTCCAGGCCAGTCAAGGCTACATAGTGAGACCCCGTCTCAAACAAAACAAAACAACAATAAAAAGGATCTGACCGGCTGAGTCACCCATGTACCCACCCCCTTGGAAACACTGGAGGTTGAGACTGGGGGCTTACCTGAACTATATAACAAGTTTCAGGCCAGCTCAGGCTACACAGCAAGACCCTGTCTTTTAGAAAATGAATGAATGAATTCCAGGTTAAATTATTATCCTTATCTCTCTCATTCTAGAGAAAGAAGATTTGCTTCAGTTGTCATACAATATCACCCTTGGCAAGAACGATGGGCTCCTTCTTCAGCAGCTTAGGTGAGGGACTGCTCAGTTTCTGAAACAACACAGTTGAGCTCAGGACCACGTCATCAAAAAACTGGCCTTAATGAGCAGGCACTGTTTTCTCTGTTTAGACTGGAGCACCGACATACATATATATGTATTCTCACTGGGGAAGACGATGTATATATAGCCAAGGTTTTATGTGGTCTTCTTTATTTTCCTAAAGTTATACAAGTAGAAATTGATTTTTTTCTTTTTTGGTTTTGGTTTTGTTTTAGGACAGGGCCTCACTTTGTAGCCTTGGCTAGCCCAGAACCCACTATGCAGACTCAGCTGGCCGCAGACTCACAAAACCAACCTGGTTGAGCGATGGAATGAACGGCCAAGGCCACCAGGACCAGCACAAATGATTTAAAAACATAACATGATTATTGGACCTTCCATTCAAGGTCATTCAGAAAATGGCAGCTCATGGGTTGAAATTCATTGGTGTGCAACATCCGAGGGGTGTTCTGGGTTCTCTAAGCCACCCAATTACTCCTTTCTTCCTTCCAGATGTCAGGGACCTTCTCACCACAGGGCCCAGCTGCCGCCCCCAGTCCAGGGGATTGCTGAGTACAGGAGTGTTAGAAAGACCCTCTGGTCAGGCTGGGACCCAAAGGTAACACCGAGGCAATCTGTCCCCTCCCCACTCCTGCACCTCCTCCCTACCTCACAGGCCCCATCTGACAGCCGATTCCTTTGCAATTAACACCTGAATAAGTGGTGTTGAAGGAAGGAAAACTAGCACCCAGCCATCTCACTAGCTGCATGATTTGGCGGACTGAAGGTGTCTTGCTTGGACAGAACCAACAGCGTCATTATTATCTTTACCAGCTCTTCACTGTGAGTGAATGAGACACACCCTCCCTCCCAAGGCCAGTGATTGCGACAGAGCCCTCTCGCGCCAGAGAGAGGGTGACGCTGCAGCTGACTGCTAGCCGCCCAGGGGCGGGGACAGGGGGGCGGTTAAGAGGTAAAGGGAAGTGTGCGTGTTATGATCCAGGGTGTGGGGGGAGGACTCTACCCCGGGCCCCAGCAACAAGGGCGGGGGACACCCTGTCCCTTCCGACGCTTACTAGCGCGCGCCTCGTGCCCAGGCAACTCAGGGCATCCCTGCGTCATCCGCATCCAGGGAGCCCGCCGCGATGCTGCCATTCATTTCTCCCACACTGCCAGTTAGAGCGAGCCTCCAGGGCTGAGGGAACCGCGTGGAGCGACTGGCGCTTTGAGTCTGGATTTTGGCGCCAACAGCGGGCCTAGGGCTTGTGGGGAGTCTACTCTGGTGCGCGCTGCAGTTGCGGTGTTAAGATCCTACTGAAAGGCCGCAACATAGTCTCGGGGGTGGGGGGGGGGGGCGACGCCGACGACAGAGCCAATGGTACTCAGACAGGGGCCAGGTATGAGGGCAGATACGGAAAGTTCAAACCCGACACACGGAGACCAGATCAGATGCACAGACGTAGACTGACAGATGCAGAGACAGTCGAATACAAATTGACCAACTGCTGGAGACCTGCGAGCGAGCACTAGGATACAGGGACACGCCGACCACGGTGGCACCACCCCCAGGCCCGGGCTCTTCCCGCGCTCCGGTCGGCTGGTACCTTCCCCTCTCTTCACGCGTATTCCGCCCTTTCCAGGCGCCTTTCAGAGTCCGGGTGGTGTTCCCGGCCAGTGTGG